CTCATCCCTTTATTGGTGATGTTTACCTTAGTCACTTGGTTAAGATAGTTTCTGCAAAGTTTATTCACTGTAAAGTTACTATTTTTTTCCCTATGTTATCTTATGGATACTTACTATATACTTTGAAACTATGCAAATATCCTATTTTTCATCAAATTTCTACCCCCTAGTTTTAGCATTCAATGACGATTCTTGCCTGAAACAGTTATTACTGTGGTGGTTGCCAAACGGCCATTTTCTAATTCTATCATTCCATCTACATTTAGTGGTTAGTATTCTGCTATAAGAAAGAGCTTTTTCTTCCCTTCTGTTTATTTGTCTATTTATAATTAATTTATTCAATGTGGACTTATGGATTCTTATTTTATTCTATAGGTTTATAGAGTATCATTAATTTTGATACTCAAATTGGCCTAGATATGGACAGTTGGAGCCCCTTCAAGCTCTGTGTCCTTTTGATATGTCTCCATCGTCTTTTAGCATGCCTTCACTTTTTAGTACAGCAAGGTGTTGCTGGGTCATCTTTTACTTTTCAGGTTGGAATGAGCCATTTCACCAAGGAGCTCTAGTTTCTTTTAGTGGAAAATGGTATTTAAAAACCAAGATCTCAAATTTTTTTTAAATAAATAAATAAATAATGAATGAATGAATAATCAAGATCTAGTGCTAGGTATGCTCATTGCTACTGTGATATCACGGCTTCTAGTTTCTAAGCAGACAGAGTTAGGAAAGTGTGTGTGTGTGAGTGCCATATTCATATACACCTTCCTACACACATCAGTATCTATTTCTGTAATTATCTACCTATTTATTAAAAGCCATGAGTTCATACTGATAACCTTTCAGAGTGGTTTTTTGTCTTGCCCAATATCATATAGTAGTTAAGGATCTAGTTAGGGATTCTTTCGGATTCTTTAAAAATCCAGACTTTACCCTCACAATATTATACCAGACCTGCTTTCACAATATTCTAGAGAAAATAGGCTGTGGAGACAGACAACCTACCTTTCAATTCTGACCTTATTCCTTGTTGGTTAAGTGATCTTGGTTAGAAGCTTCTTCCCCATGCTTTAGTTAAAACTAAATCCCCTGCCTGAAGAAAATACTGTAAAGATTAAATGAGGTAATATGTTAACACAGCTTTTACATAGAAGGTGGTCAATAAAGATTAGTTTTTTTCTTTCCTCTGCTGCTTTCCTACACATCTGTATTATATTCATCCTTATCCTTAATTTACCATTTACTTGGTTCTTTATTTTATGTTTCTTTTCCCCAAGATTTCTCGGAAAAAAAAAAGACCATGTCTAATCCTGATTTTATATCTGTCATTGTGTTTGCCATATAGATTCTCAGTTGATACTTAACTGATGGATTACTTGGTTGACATTAGCAATTCTTATTTCCTTTTTCATCTCCTGGTAGAATAGGATGTCCTGGGACTTTTGCTTAAGCTTCAATACTTAAGGAATGGTATTTCTAGAGATTTTCTGTTTAGGTATCCCTGCCAAATTCATAATTGTCATCCCTTCATCACAGTTTTAGAATAAAGAAAGTATCAAGATGTTTTGGAACCTCACAGCCTTTTTGTTAACTTTAGCAATCCGCTCATCGTGCTGCCACACGAGGCTTTATCCGATATGGATGGCGCTGGAGTTGGAGAACTGCAGTGTTTGTGACTGTATTCAAGTAAGTTCTCTCTGAATTGTGACAGAGCGTCTTGGTATTCCTTTTTTTTTAATTAATTAATTTTTTATGGTAACATTGGTTAACGAAATCCAGTAAGTTTCAGCTGTACATTTTAACAGTAAGGCATATCTCTATTTACACTGTGTGTTCAACTCCCATAGTTAGATTTCTTTCTGTCACCATATATTTGACCCCCTTTATCCCGTGTACCTCCTCTCCCGCCCTCTGATAACCACTAGTCTATTGTCCATGTCCATGAATCTCTGTTTGTTTGTCCTGTTCATTTGTTGCTTTTAGGTTTATATTCCACATTGATATTCTTTTATCAGCACATCTTTTGAGCCAGTGGGATTATAAAAACTGAACACCCATATGAAAGTGATTCATGATACCTTTTTCTCAAGAACTATTTATCTATGTAAAAAGTTGGTCCAGTTGTAGTTTTGCATTCATGGAGATCTACCAACTAGTATCAAAATAGATACAAGACTAAGTAAGAGATATTCTTTAAAACTCTTCTTTATGTTTCTTTTTTTAAGTGAATATTTATTCCAGAAATGTGATTGTTTTTTGGTTCATTTTTCAATAGGATAAAGTCCACCTAGAAACCCATAGGCATATTAGCAATCTGAAACATTGAAGGAGCCTACACTAGGACCAGGGATTGACATAGTAGGGTTTTCTAAGCCAATACATATTTCTTTAATGAAAGTTGCAGTTAAGAAGGTAAATGGAATATGCTTTAAATTTTATTTTTTCCTCCTCCTCCCTTCTTCCTAGCACAGTGAACACTGGTCTAAATGTCTACCGAAATAAAAATGCCCTGAGCCATTTTGTCATTGCAGGAGGTAAGACATTTTTGTTCTTGTTTATGTTTTTCAATCTCAGATATGGTTTAGGAAATATATAAGAACATAAATCATAGTTACTGAATTCATTGGTTGGCTTTTCATCACATTTTATTCAACATTCACGCAAAATGTACGGAAAGCATCGTACTTAATCCTTGGTATAATTGGTTAACGAAACAGAAAAGGTCTTTGAATTTATGGAGTTGTACAACATAATGTGGATGGGAAATCCACAGGTTGCTATGATCGAAAGTACTAGGCAGTGGGATCTAATATAGACAAGGTGATCAGAGAAGGCCTTTCTAACCAAATGACATTTAAACTGATACCTGAAGGATGCAAAAGAACCAGGCTTGAGAAGAAGAGTAGCCTAGACAGAAGAAACTTCAAGGGTGAAAGCTCTTAGGCAAGAAAGTTTCTTAAAAGCAGGATAATATAGTTAGAGCATAGTGAACGAGGGTGAGTAGCTTGAGATGAGACTGTTGAGGTGAAGCAGAAAGGGGCCAGATTTTTCATGGTAAGAGTTTGGATTTTATTTTAAAGCCTACTGCCTCTGATAGATATTTAAAACAAACATTAAAAAAAAAAGTATAGCTGTCCCTCAGTATCTATGGGGGAATGGTTCCAAGACATTACCTTTCCTTATGCTCTCCCATCCCCCTCGGATACCAAAATCCACAAATGCTCAAGTCCTTTATATAAAATGACATAGTGTTTGCATATAGGCTACAGCAGGGTATGCCTACACATCACTTCATTTGTGTGGATTCAGCATAATGCTTAGCGCATGGTAAATTCATGTTTTGGAGAAATTTCTGTTTTGTTTTGTTTTTTTTTTTCCCAAATATTTTCGATCCATAGTTGGTTGAATCCACAGATGTGGAACCCATGGATATGGAGAGCTTATTGTGTTAAAGTATTTTCAGAAATGTAATTGAAGTTCACTGCCATATACACTCATTAACTCATGTACATTCTCTCACATATAAAAACACATGTACTTGATATAACTTTTTAACTTTTTATTTGGAAGTAATTTCAAGGTTAAGAAAGTTGCAAAAATAAAACTACAAGGAACATCATTTAATATAGAGATTCAGCTCTTAATATGTTAGCCCATTTGCTCTGTCACTTGCGCTTTCTTTATTTTGGGTGCACTCTCTCTTTCTCTAGGTATGTGTACACATGCACAGTCAAACATATACAGAATTTGAACTTGACATTTTAATAAAAAAATTTTTAACATAAAAAAAGCTAGACATAAACATTAATAGCATTGGAATAACTAGAATTTGCCCTTTTTAAACTTGCGAACATTTTTACATGAGTATTCTGTAGGCTCAAATGCCTATATCCAAACCAAATTCTTATCTTCGTCCCCCTACTTTCATACTTGGTTTTGCTGTTATGTTCTCTGCCATCTACCCTGTTAAATTCCAAAACTGTAAACCATGTAATGATGTGGTTCTTCCCTTTGTTTCCATGTTTCTAGACTTCTAGTCCTATCAATTATATTCCTTAAATATATATGGACTCTCTCACCTCTTCTTTGTTCCCACTGCTACTATCATGTCTTCCCTGTTTCTAATCTTGGTACTTTCCACATCTACTGTTGCCTTAGTTACTATTGTGAAATACGAATATGATTATAATACTTTTCTGCTTGAGGTTCTTCGATAGTTTCCTATCACTCTAATGTCTTTTCTTGATCTGGCCCCATGTACTACTCTTGCTTCTGCCTTATGAATCTACTTGGATTTCCCAAACCCAGCATATTCTTACTTTACATATATTGGTCTCTCTTCTTGAACCTACCACCTTCCCTCTCCCTCAACTAATTTTGTTCAGCTCCTACTTAACCTATCTTTCAAGGTTTACCTCATCTATCAGTTTTAGCTTCCCTAGAGAATCCTTCCTAGCTCCCATTTTCCTATCTTTAGGCCCGTTTAAGTGTCTTTTTCCTGTGTTCCTATAATTCACTATAAATAGTTACATCAAAGCACTATATTCTAGCTATTTACTTGTTTTGCTTCCCTCCTAGATGACTTACTTGAATTTAGAGGAAGTATTTGCCTTTTATATCACAACCATTTGACAGAGTAGAGTAGAATAAGTGTCTTTTGGTTGAATGTAAATTTTAGTAAAATAAGTAAAGAAACCAGCAGCTAATACTGAATGGTAGAATCAGAATCAGGTTAAGGATGTCTTCCCTCACCATTATTATTGAGCATGGGTCTGGACATTGAGAAGAGTATATTTGACATTTAGAATGTTTGAGTGAGGAGCTTGGCAAATCCTCTCCCCCAAAAGCAACAATAAAACTAGACAAAATTATCAAAAACAATTGTTTAAAGATGTTAGAAATTGACCAAGACCACACAAGTTGAGAAGCATTTATTCATTATTTCTGTTGAATTTCAGTAAGAACAATGGGAGTCAGTAGTGTTTCAGCCTGAAGCTGCTCTCAGCATCTAACCCCCAGCTCTATGATGTAGAAGTTCCACGAGGGCAGGGCATTCTGGGAGGACCAACAATTCTTCTGCTTGAGGTAGCTGACCTTATTTGGAGCAGAGTGCAGAAAATTCCATGCCTAAGGGTGTTGCTGAAAACAATTGCAAACAAGAAAGGACAATATCACACAGCTAACCTGAGGTTTTGATACTGTTTGGGGCAAGCAGTAGACTAGCAGATGAGTCAGAATTTTAACAAGGATATCAGGGAATAAGACAGCCAAAAAGGGCTTTTATAAGATTCTACTAATCCCTAGAACTCTGGAAAGTTGCGTACACATATTAACTCATGTGTAGATATCCATACACACTCAGGAGACACTGGGAGAGCCCTTATAAGCTACTTATCTTTGGTTGTGAGGCTTTGTGAACACAGAAAGAAAAAACCAGAGAAGATTTATAAATTACCTAAACTTCGAATGCATTCTTCAAGATGCATTGACAAAAGGTGGAAGCTTACTGGCTTAAGATGTTTAAGCATAACCTCTGACAAATCATTGGCTGACTGCTAAGGTATAAAGACTCTTGAAAAGCCAACCATAAAAAGAAAAACTAAGCAGGGGCATCAGTGGGCTGCACTCTACGGAAAAGACTCCATAGAATTGGTCCAGGCAAGTCATTCCATAAACAAAGAACCACAACCATGCCCCCGGGTGGGGGGATATTCCAAATCCAGAGTTGCTATAATTTATTACCTAAAATGTCTAGTTTTCAGCAACAACAACAAAGTCACAAGACATGCAAAAATTAGATTAAAAAAATTGGGAATGTTTCTGACAGGGCCCATCTGTTGGACATAGCAGGCAAAATATTTCAAGTCATTTTTAAAGAATTAAAGTATAATGACAATCACTCATCAAATAGAGAATATCAATAAAAATAGAAGTTATTAAAAAAGAATAAAATGAAAATTCTGGAGTTGATAAATACAATAATGGCAATTAAGAATTCACTGGAGAGGAGGAGCTCAACAGCAGATTTGAGATAGCAGAAGAGAATCAGTGAACTTGAAGATAGATCAGTATAGATTTTCTCCTGTGAAAGGCAGCATTTAAAAAATGAAGAGAAATGAACAGAGCCCAAGAGATCTATGGGACACTATCAAGAATACTTAGAATATGTGTGATGGAGAATACTACATGGAGATGAAAGAGAGAAAGGATCAGAAAAAGTATTTTAAGAAATTATGGCTATAAACTTTCCCAAATTGATGAAAAACATTAATCCACACATCTAGAAGCTCAATAAACTCCCAAGAAGAATAAACATGAAGAGGCACACCTAGACATATAATAGTTAACACTGTCGAAAAACAAAGAGAAAATCTTGGAAGCAGCAAGAAAAAAAATGCATACAAGGGACACCCAATAACAGCTGACTTCTCATGAGAATGGTGGAAGCCAGAGGCAATAGAATGACAAAATCCTGATCCTTTTTTACTGTCTCAATACTTATGCCTTTCAAAATATTATATAGTTAGAATTACATAGTATGTAGCTTTTTCAGATTGGCTTCTTTCACTTAATATTCATTTAAGGTTCCTCCTTGTCTTTTCATAAGTTGATAGCTCATTTCTTTTTCATGCTGAATAATATTCCGTTTTCTGGATCTACCACCATTTATCCATTCGCCTGCTGAAGGGCACCTTGGTTGATTCTAAGTTGTGAGAACTATGAACAAAGCTGCTATAAACATCTTTGTGCAGGTTTTTTTGTGGACATGAGTTTTTAACTCCTTTGAGTCAATACCAAGGAGTGTGATTGCTGGATCTTATGGTAAGAGTATATTTAGTTTTATAAGAAATCACTAAGCTGTCTTCCAATGTGGCCATACCATTTTTCATTTCACCAGAAATGAATGAGTTTCTTTTGTTCTACTTTCTCACCACCATTTGATGTCAGTGTTCCTGGTTTTGGCTATTCTAATCAGATTTTAAAAAATATTTTGTTTGGAAAAGAAGACTAGAAAAAACAACAACAAATTTATTACTCTCTGCATAATGGAGTTAAAGGCGATTTTTGTTCTTGTTAATTAAAAAATTTAGGAAAAGTAAAAAAATGAATATATAGAACTTAAATAAGAAACATAAACCTCAGATTTCTTAAAAATGTTACCACCTGAGATGGTAGTGGTTGTGTTGTGCATAGTAAAAGAGGAAAACAAATGACCATCGTGGATGTACAATTCCAGTAGGAAGGGAAGATGACCTGTGCACCTGCCACCAGGTGGCACTGTAAAGCAAATGCCTGCTTTCAGCCCTGCCTGAGAGGTGCAGTGTAGCAGTACAGAAAGGGTGAGGCTGGCGGGAAGCATAAGCTGCAGGGTCTTTTGTTGTTTATTTGGGAAAAGCTTTCCCTGAAGAAGGAAGAAATGAAAGGGGTGGAAATGAAGAAATTACAGATTTTTAAGGGAAGGTGTGCAAAAATGAAGCAGAATGAGAAGAGGTTAGATCCATAGAACAGATTAATGAATTAGGTTTGTGAAAGGAACATTTCTTCCTTTGTACCTTAAGAATGGAAAAGAAGCTAACTGTATTGACATTTTAGATTCAGGAAATCTAGGTTGTGGTATATTAATGTTGGATTCAGAAAGTTTACTTAGATATTTATGTCCTTTTTATAGAAGGAAAATTTTAAATTGGAATTCTAGTGCTTAAAGGTGATTTAACATTGCCTTTTTTCTGTGTTTGTTTTTAAATAGCTGTCACAGGAAGTCTTTTTAGAATAAACTTAGGCCTACATGGCCTGGTGGCTGGTGGCATAATTGGAGCCTTGCTGGGGTAAGTGTTAACATGATTTGATTCTAAATTAACACAACTTTCATTAATGCCTTGCCTTTTAAGTATCTCATCAATTTCTAAAGAACAGATTTAATACTTAGAGCATATAAAAGATGTCTAGTCTCACGTTGGTAGTAGCTTTGACTGTCCAATTCTAATTCCACCCCAATTATTGATTTACTTCGAGTTTTCTCTGGGTAAAAAACTGTGTAAAATCACTAACACCTGAAACTATTTGTATTTTGTGCAAACATGCTTATAAGGAGCCAGAAAAAGGAACAAGAAGCAGTTAACAAGAACATTCTATAAAATATTTTTGTTTTGGTTTTGTTTGTTTAGTTTAATAAAAGTTTTTTCTACTCTAATTTTTTACTTTGAAAAATTCTGAACCTATAGAAAGTCGAATGAATTAGCATTTGAATACCCATGCCCTTCACTTAGATTTACCAATTGTTAACATTTTGCCATATTTGTTTTCTATCTCTGTATATATGTGAGATATGTGTGTATTTCTTTTTTCTTTTTGGTTAAACCATTAGAGACTTCATAATTCTGTATCCCAAATTACATCAGTGTGTGTATCACCCAGGATGAAGAACATTGTCCAATAATATCATAATACAGTAATCACAATAGTTAATTTAGCTTTAATTCAATACAGTTATCTAAGATAGGGTCTATATTCAAAATTCCTCTATTATTACAATAATGTATGTGTGTAATTTTTTTTTAAACTCGGGTATTAGTTTTATTTCTGAGAAACCTTCAGTATAAAACTATTGACTAGAACTTGTCATAAATATATATTTTCCTGGTTAATTTTTGATTAAAAACAGTCAATTTATAGATCTATTGTTTTTATATCAGTTATTTTAAGGAAGTTGCAATGATTGTTTTTCTCTATTGTTCAGACCAGGAAGAAAATTGCCTAAATTTTTTTTCTTTATTCAATAAGGACACTTTAATTGTCAAATGTTCCTGTCAGTGAACAAGTAGTTCATCTGGTGTTGCTCATGCCCTAGCAGAGTCGCTCACATGTTGTATGGTCTCATGGCTCTTTTTCCTAAGCTTTCCCTCTGCTTTCCCCTCAGCACTCCTGTAGGAAGCCTGTTGATGGCACTTCAGAAGTACTATGGTGAGACTGTTCAAGAGAGAAAACAGAAGGATCAAAAAGCACTCCATGAGCTGAAACTGGAAGAGTGGTAAGGAACATATTATGACTAGGGTATACGACTGTCCTAGCAGCTGGCTTTAGACAGTAGTGTTCTCTTAACCCAAGTACTCGAGTTAAACTGTTACTCAATTCAAAGAAGAATTTATTTTTACTGAGTCCTTCAACTTGTACCCTACCTGGTCTTCTCATTTTTTTATTAAGGAGAATGGAAAAATTAAAAACACTAATTTTATTATTACTATGATGAGGATTTTTTTCTTAAGATACGTGTTTCTTTTTTGAAAAGTTAAAATGTAAATTTCATTTGGTTGCATATTTTTCCTTTTTCTATGATTTTGACTGCATAAGGAAATTACCTAAAGAAAATACACGGCAATGAGTGAGCTTATTTGGCTTAATTTAAAAGGTGACATCCCAGTTTACACACACATCTATAAATAATACAGAACATGTTCTATTCCCACATTCAAAGATTCTACTTCTTGCTGTGGATGCATAGGAATTAGGTAGATATAGTGGCTGTACATAGAGTGGGTGCCATTGAGGATGATGAAATCTTTCATCTGTTCTATCTAGTCATTCCCTGGGGTATAGTAATCAGACTGATAGCAGATTTCATACTGATTCTTTTTTTTTTCCCCAGTATAGTTGACATACAATATTATATTAGTTTCAGGTGTATACCATGGTGATTACACATTTATAGAACTTATAAAGTGATAACCCCAATAAATGCAGCACCCATCTGACACCATACATAGTTATTACAATACTACTGACTATATTCCCCATGCTATACTCTACATCCCTATGACTAGTTAGTAACTATCAGTTTGTACCTCTTAATCTCCTCCCTGCTTCACCCATCCTCCTGCCCCCCATCTTTTGTTTGTCAAAATGCTCTTTACCTATGAGCTTGTTTCTGTTGTTTGTTTGTTTATCCTGTTCTCTGGATTCCACATGCAAGCGAAATCATATGACATTTGTTTCTCTGTCTGACTTATTCCACTCTGCACAATACCTTCTACGTACACTCATGCTGTGTACGTAGATGGCAAGATTTCATTCTTTTGTATGGCTGAGTAATATTCTGTTGTATAATGTACCACCTCTTCTTTATCTATTCATCCATTGATAGATACCCAGGATGCCTCCATATCTTGACTATTGTAAATAATGCTGCAATGGATATATGGATAAACATGTCCCTTTGAAGTCATGTCTTGAGTTTCTTGGAATAAATACCCAGAAGTGGGAGTACTGGGTCTGTTTTTGTCTCTTGTTATAGCCTTTGTTTTAAAACCCATTTTGTCTTGAATGAGTATTGCTACCCCAGCTTTTTTTCCCCTACTTTCATGAAATATCTTTTTCTATCCCTTTATTTTCAGTCTGTGTCTTTCAATCTGAAGTGAGTTTCTTGTAGGCAGCATGTGTAAGGGTTTTATTTTCTTATCCACTCAGCCTTCCTATATCTTTTGATTGGAGCATTTAATCCATTTACATTTAAAGTAATTGATGATAGATATGTAGTTGTTGACCCTACAGAGCAGGATTCACTTAAGGGGCTCTGGTGCATGCCAAGTCTGCTCTTCAGGTATGTCATTTGTGAAGGCAATTGGGTGGTACTCTAGCTCAGTTGAAGTGGCTACTGGGTGTGCTGGTCCAGGCCCTCCTGGGAGGGGCCCCACCACAAGTCAAGTTCAGCTGCTGCTTGAACTTGAGGCTGCCTAGCATGAGCCACAAAGTGATTCACAGATGGCCGCCAACTGAGGCTACGTGACACTAGTACCAGGCTTGGTGCTGCTCGGCAAGAGGTATGAGGCATGCTGAAGCCAGATGCTACTTGTTGGGGGTTTGTGAACCTTTGAAAGATTTTGGGAGTCTACAGCATGAGCCAACACAGGCTGTTTATATGGATGAGCCCCTGGAAGTGGCTTGGGTGGGCCAGTAAGTTGGGTGGGCTGGGGTCTCAGAATCACCAGAGCAGGGCAAGTGGTGTCATCCTCCAGGTTGGAGAGTCAGATATAGCACATGGGTACAAGGGAGGGCTCCACAAAGGAACAGTGCCCTCTGCCAGCACTTCTGTCTGGGAGAAAGCCGCCCTTCCAGCCCTTGCCCTAAAGCCAGATAGTTTAGTTCCTCTCCATATGTCCCTGGCACTTTTTGAACTCTTGCCCTAGCACTGGAGCTCAGAGCGAGCGAGTCTGTCAGTGAGTAAGTACATGCGCTGGCTCTTTAAGAGGAGTGCCTGGGACTCCAGGAGCCCTCCGTCTCACCTACAAAACTCCACTGGTTTTTATATCCATAAGTTGTGGAGACTTCTTTACTCCACACTAGCACTTTGGGCTGGGGAGCTCAGTATGGGGCTGGGACCCTTTGCTCCTCAGAGGGGAGTTGTGTAGCTGAGAGATCTTTCCTAATTCTCCACTGCCAGATGTGGGTGTGAGATCAGTCTGTTCTGCTTCTCTGCCCCTCCAACCAGTCTGGAGGTGGCTTCTTCTGTATAGCCTTACTTATAGGACTTCTATTCAGCTAGACTTAAGGTGATTTTCATTGATGGCTGTTCTATAGGTTAGTTGTAATTTTGATGTGACTATGAGAGGAGAGAAGCACAGCATTTACCTATTTTGCCATCTTAACTGGAACAACATGTGGATTCTTTGTAAGATCAACATAACAGGCTGCCATCTAGCACTCCTGATACAAACGATTCCCACAGTTCAGCTTCCTGGGTACCTAAGACATTATCTGGTGCTGCAGCTGCTGCATTGGTAGTTGAATAGATAAGCAGTCATTTTCCCCAGGGTTTTACTCGAAATGTCATTTGTGCTAAACACACGCACACTGACATGGAAATTGTTAGTATCTGTAGATCTATTATTGTCCAAGGATTTAGGTGCTGTAGGAGAAAAAGCATTGCTTTTGGAGCCGATGAAACCTAAAAACAAGTTTTAAATCCTAGCTAGACTGTTAATTAATTCTGTGACCTTAGATATTTTTCTTAACTTCAAGCCCTCAGTTTTTTCAGGCACTCCAAGGGCAGAATAACACCACAATGCTCAGTATATGTTTGATTCCTTTCTCTTCTCCATACTAAGAGGGTGGCTGGGATATGAAGTTATGTAGTTAAAATTCTGAATGCCAGCATAAAATTTAATATTATGGAGAATTAAAAGCATGAAAGTATTAGCTTATTTCTAGTTCTTAGGTGTCATAAGACACTTCTTTTTTTTTTTTTTTTCCCAAGGAAAAATATATTGGCTATTTGAAACTGATATAGGGATTTATGGAAGAATTAGCATTTGGAAAATTATGAACCAATAATTTCATCCAACTAAAAAAGGAAGCCAGAAAAAGAAAAGAGAAGTTGATCAGTTATTTAGAAATGGAAAACCTCAAGAATGTATGAGAACACAATTCATTACAGCAGTGAAAGAATACTTTGGCAGAAAGGAATGGTACCAAAAATGTATAAGATATAAATATATATATTAGATATTTCTGAGGAGAGTTAGTATAATAGTTAAGAACCTTTTATCTGTCTGCTTCTTTGCTTGAAAATAAATACAGGAAAGTCAAAATGAGAGTCTATAAACAATTGCGTTAGTGAGAAGAAAATGTAGAAAACTGGCTATAGAGATATATAAGAAGAAACAGTCAAATTATGGTTGTGAAGAGTTGGAAAGAAAGTCTTAGGTGACTCTGATAGTCACTTAAAGAAAGGAAGACAGTAATATTTAATTTAGAAGAAGAACTGATCTGTTATTTGGAAATTACATTTTAAATCTTAGTAAATGTACATCTGTAGTGTCCCATCTGATTTTTCTTTTCTGAGATCACCACTGTTACAGCCTCTGTGTAATTCCTACAAGGTCTGACAACAGAGAGTTTAACAGAGTGGCAGGGGGCTCACATCCCCCAGACCCTGAGGGCAAGAAGACAGCCAGGTTACAAGGCCCTCACATTAGATCAGAGTGCTTTAGCTTCTGCACTTAATGCCTGCAAGAACTCTGGAATATGTTATGGATCAGAGCTCCTGCCATGGCAATGTCCATTTTGGTAATATGAGAATTTTAGTTGACTTGTGAGTGGAACGGGTTAGGAGGGAAAAGAAAGTCATTGTATTTGAAGTGCAAGGAGCAGTGTTTGCTCATAAGCTGCAGGGAGAGTAAGGCAAATGCAATTAAAAAACAGACAAATCTAAGAACTAAAGAAATGGAGCAGTACTTGATATCCTTTTCATTTTTTGATTACAGGAAAGCCAGACTACAATTTACTGAGCTTCTCCCTGAAGAAATTGAAAGTAACCTACAGAAAAATACATCCAAGGATGATGCTAAGAAAATTGAAGCACTGTTAAATCTTCCTAGAAACCCCTCATCAACAGATAAACAAGACAAGAACTGAAAAATGTTCTAGATTTGAAACTCATTGGAGAATTGAAGGGAGTTATGTTGCCATGTCCATTGAATGCCAGTGGTCAGGCTACTCCTTGGTTAGTCTGCTGACACAGTTAAGCACTAGTACCTGTAGTGGCAGTGGCTCAGTTTTTTTAAACCAAGAATTGGGCTTTTGTACCCTAACTTTACTTATCCTTAAAATTTAAATACATACTTTATATTTATCAATCTATGTATTTGACATTATATTGATCGATTAATATATTTCATCCTAGATTTTACAACGGTAAATTAAAAATTTCACAAAAGATTAAAGTCTAATTCTACACATTATATATATATTCTTGTAGCCCTTTAAAAGAGTACTCCAGGAATCACTAGGAAGAGGAGATAAAAGAACCAGGTAAGGCAAATGATTGGTGAAACTGTTGTGCCCTTGGGTCCTGGAAACAGTATGGGTCTAAATGTGTAGTAATGTTTGGTGTTTTGTTTTAATAAAAATCAAAGGTAATCTCTATGCCATTTGAAATAAGATATAAATTTAATGAAAAGAAAGTAGATCATCGTTATTAAAGAAACCGCCCAACTTTGTCTCCTCTCTCAGTATTGCTAAAAAAGTATCTGCACTGTATTATGAATGAGTTACTTAGGATAGATGCACACTCCAGGAGCTTGATGCCTAAGAAGGAAGCTGTCCTGAAACAGCAGATTGTAACTTTTATGAAGTGGGGGGAATGAAGGGTGGGAAATGACTGAATTAAGTGTATTGAAGGGAAAAAACTGCTAGTGCTTTGTTTTGGTGTTAGAACTCTTAATTCCTACTTTGAAAACATCATTGTTCATAGGAGCAGGTTTATGGAGCAGCTAGTGTGGTGGCTAAAACCATTGGCTCTGTAGACTTGGAATCCTAGCCACATGGCTTCATAGCCTTGTGATGTAGCAAAGCCATTTTACTTTAAGTTTCAGTGTTCTCATCTGTCAAATGAAATGATATTAAATGAAATGGGCATTAAACGAAATGATCCGTGTAAAGCATAGCACAGTGCCCTGGCATACAAGGCATTATATAATAAGTATTAAGGTATGAGGATATGAGAATGTCTGCACCAGTATGTTTTCACTATGATTTACATGTTATTACCACACTCCAAAAAGCATGTTTTTCTTAATTTTCTCATTTATGAATTGCTGACAAATTGACAGTTAGTTTCTTCATAGTTTTATTCATACCCACACATAGATTAAACTCAGCTGGAAAAGATAAAACTAAATAGTTGGTTTTAAAAGTAATTTTATTCACATCACAAAAAAAATGTTTATAAGAATATAAAAGCAAAATACAACTGAAAAAACAGTACTAACACATTTATGAAATGTAATTAGAAATAATTTAATATAATTTATCTGAATATAAATAAGCTGCCTCTTAGGTTTTACAGGCTAATTCTTGAGGTCTCTTTTTGATCACGTCTAAGGATTATGAATCTTAACTAAATGCAGCAATTCCTGTTTTTGTTTCTTTCTTTAACTTCTTTTCAGTCCACTACCTTTATTTTCTTCAGTGATTTTATTCTGAGAGCAACCATTTAAAAATACTTCTGTTCCTTGGACTATCTAGAATAATCTAGTCCCTTTATAGCTATCAAAATTAAACATATTAAATCCCTTCACATTTGAGAAACTTGGTCCGCTTTTGCTGTCCAGACCCAAAATTTCAGATAAGAAGGTTGTCCGATTGCCCCAGCTTAAGTCAGGTTCACTCCTGGGCCATTGAGTTATGAAAGGCAATTTCAGAGAAAGTAGAGTAATGAGTAAATAACATTGGGACAGCAGTTAACCACTTCTTTCTTTTTAATTTTATGCTGATGTCAGAAGAATCCAGAAATACCAAGAAAAAGCCACTTTATGGATCTAAGATAGCCCTATGGAATGCTATTTACCTTACTTCAATCAATTTCTTCTAAGGACAGCTTATTGTTTAGTATACAAGCATACCTTGGAGATATTGCAGGTTTGGTTCCAGCCAACGGTGATAAAGCAAGGATGGCAATAAAGCAAGTTGTAGTCTTTTTGCTGGTAGAGGGTCTTGCCTTCAATTTGTAAATTTGGGTTTTCCAGTCAAGATGGTGGAGTAGGTAAACTCTGTACTTGCCTCCTCCCACGACCACATTAAAATTACAACTATAGAACAGTTGACTTGGAGAACCATCTAAAGACTACCTGATCAGAACTCCTATAACTAAAGATATAAAGAAAAGGCCATATCAAGACAGGTAGGAGAGGCAGAGACAAAAATGTGCTGTTCCCTCACCCGTGTGTAGTGGTAAAGAATTGGGAGGGATAACTCAGCTGTAAAGGTCCCCCTGGAGGAGCAAGTGGCCCCAGCTCCACACCAGGGCTCCCCAGCCCAGGGTTCTAGTATTGGAAAGAGGAATCACCACAAAATTTGGCTGTAAAATTCAGGGGGAATTCTGACCATCTGGGTGAGACAGAAAGCTGCTAGCAACCCAGACGACCTCTTAAAGGGCCCTCACACAGACTTGCTCACTTGCAGGCACTTACCCTGGCCTCTGGCAAAAGGACAGTGATTGGGAGGTGCCAGAGATATATAGGG